ATACATTTATTAAAATACTCTTAATAAAAAATAATTTTATTAAAAATATTTTAGTATATTCATAAGACAAATTATATTTTTAATATATAATTTATCCTGTAAAACATTTTTTTTATTTTCAAATGAGAAAGATTTTTGTTTACTAAACTAACATTTTTGGATCCAATCACACCTATAAACATAAAATATAACTAGTATTGTCCAACTAGGTTCACCAATTATTAGGGTATGGTATTTGTATTTTTAAAGAAAAAAGTTATTATTAAAAACAAATAAGAAAATAAAACATAAAGAAAAGATATAATGTCCAACTCGTTTTGTGGATTGTTAGAGTATAGTATTTATATTTTAAAAGAAAAAAAATATTATTAAAAACAAATAAGAAAAAAAAAAGGAGAATGAAAATAAGGATATCCTAACATTTTAATCGATAGAATTATTTGTAAAATTATTCAAATATTCTTAATGCGTTTTCTTCTTGTGTTAATTTATTATATATATTTAAGAGTTTTCATTATCATTTGTGACAATTTAATTGCTAATGCATCAAGATTTTTCACAATTCTAAGAAAAAAACATGTGATATTAAATAATTAATTTTACAAAGTTTTAATTGATATTTAAGATATCTTTTAATAATCAATACTAAGTGGTTAATAATTTAAATAGTTTAGTAATAATTTTTTTTTTTATGAAAAGATCTCAAATTCAAACTATATGATATGCAATTGTGTTGAATTAAGGAATGAGAGAGGATGAGAGAGGATTACCATCAAACCTAATATTATGTGATAAAAATACATGAAAATAAACTTACTCCCATCAAACCAAACTTATTTGATTTACAACATATCCAATTTTACAATTAAATCAAATAAAATTTTTTTATGCAAATATACTATATAAAGTAAAAAATAATAATTTTTACTAAAGTAATAACCTCAAATAGAAAAAAAAATTCAGACAAATACAAAATAATATAAAATAAAAATTAATTGCATCAAATGTAATTGTGAAAAAAAACTAAATAAACTTTCCATGCAAATAAAGAAGATATAAAATTTACAATAATTATAACAAATGCCATTATACAAAGACAAAAGATTATTTTAAATACAAATACAAAATAGATAAAAAGTTTACAAAAATTACACCAATTGTCATTAAATCAACCAAAAGCCCTTAAATCCTAAGGGAAGAAGAACGTTGAGGAGAGAGATAGGAAGAGCAGAGAGCATAGAGTTGAGCTAGTTGACTTTACCCTTTAGATGACAAAAGGAGATCTTTCTGATAATGGCTTTGCTCCAACATCATTTTTATTATAAATTTGTTAATTTAAATTTTAAGTTGAATAAGAGAAGAAGTAGAAAAAGAGAGGTATATTCTTTTTTTGTATAGCCCATAAATATAAGTTTTTTTATTATCAAGACAAAATAAGTGTAATAAGTATGAATTTTAAAAAGAAATTAATGTATATTAGTCTCCACTTTTAAAAAAATTAGAGTCGTAATCTATATTTAAAAATTGAAATTCTAATTTAAGATTCAAAAATCCAATTAATTTTTAAATCTAAAGATCAATATTTTAATAAGATAAATTTTTAAATTTTAAATTAATTTTTAATTAAATAAAATGATATAATTTAATATTGTATATAATTCTAATTTTTTTAATCATAATTGATATACACTTTTCTCATTTTAAAAATATATAGTTTCTTATAGTTAAAAAAAAATATATTTTTTCGTTTTATTTATTCAAAAAATGTTAGTTCACAAGAAAGCAATCGTTCTGGGTCAAGAAACAGTGGGGATTTGCTTGAGCAGGTGGGCCAGCCAGGTTGTGAAGCCATGTGGGATGATACCCTTCTGTCTGGACTAGGGAATGTTTTTGATCCCTTGATTGGTTCCCTACTTCCAATTACATTCTGCAACCCTAAAGATTGGTGCAAATCAAAAGGTACATTTAGAAAAGATTGTTTTAATACTAATGTGTGTGCATTTTATGCAGAAGAAGATAAGGTAACCAAACTTGAACAACACAAGCAATTTGTTCATTGAGATATTCCTTGCTTCCAACAAAAGCTGCCTCCAAGGGTATATCTTCCTTACCCCATTTCTCCTCCAGTTCATTCTCACATGAGGCAACATTGCCAAGTCTGCCTTCATCTCTAGGCTTCTTCTTCTTCTTCTTCTTCCAACTGAGCAGAAGAATCCAACAGGAAACCGAAAGCCAGATTTTGGTTAACAGAAAATTTGGCAATGCAAAGGAGGTATACCTTCAATCCAAGCTAAAAAGTTGTGGTTATTAGTAATTTTCTTGTCTATTACTTTTTCGATATTCTGTCAAGCATGTTTGTCATGTGTACTTTTAAAATATCAAACATTTGATTCTGTCTGAAACAATAGTAAGTCTTTATTCTTTTTTCCCACTTGTTAGTAGGACTTCGGTTTCATGACAATGATTGAATGCTGAAATTCTATACCATATCATAAAGAACCAATCTCATTAGGGTTATTTCCATCATTTTCCTCCAAAATGAGTCCATACGTTGTCTGAAAAACGCATCAAAATGATTGTTGTTTTTATCTTGATTAAGTATCGTTGAAAAACTTGGTAGAGTGAGCTTTGCTGGTCCTGGACAGGGGGTAGCCAACAGCACTGCTAGAGGAAGGACGCTACTGCAACAGACAGAACCTGTCAAAGGAGGTATTAATGGTATTTTCAGGGACAGAACCTAATAATTTTGGCTAGTTTTATGTATTGATTGTTACATGTTTTGCAGGTAATTGGTTCCAGAGGCAGTATTGTAGGCAAATGAGTCAGGTCTACGATCCTCAAGCTAGTGAGCATGCAGTTGCAGTCACAGCTGTTGCATTTTCCATCTACTCCCTTGTAGAAGCTGAGATGGAACGGCAGAGAAAGATAAGGGAAGAACTTGAGAAATCAAGGACCAAGAGGAAAAGCAAAAAAGAAGATAAAGCATTAGGCCTACCAGGTTCTAGTGGAGTGTCAAACAGGGAAGAGAAAAATGAAGGTAAATTTTTAAGAAAGGAAACTAGACCAAATTTTTTGTTGAGATTCTATTGCTTAAATAACAAGGCAGTTTTGGCAGGTGGAACTCTCACCAGGAAGCCAACAAGGGAAGACTACAGGGTTGAACGGACTGCTTTTCCAAGCAGCCAACCAGGTAACATGTCTTCTACTAGGCCTGCAACTACAGAAGCTAGAAATCGGAAGGATAAAGGAAACTCTTCAAGAAACAATGCAGTGGAAAGCAAAGAAGATTCTTGGGAAAGAGCTCAAATGGAAAACATTAACAAACGGTATACATTTAAATTTGGATTAAACAGAAATCTTGGTTTAATCTATACGTACTATTTATGCTAAAACTTAGAAATTTCAGGTGTGAAAGGATAAAATCTTCAATTCTTGCCTGGGAGAATCAAAAGAAAATGCAAGCCAAAATCAAGATGGACAGAAGAAAGGTCTAAATGCTACAACTTTAAGCTCTTTGTTTATGCAACTTTATTAAAGCCTACTATAAAATGCCACTGATCTTTCTAAATCCTGATTGTTTAAACTGCAGAGTGAATTGGAGCAGAGAAGAACAAGAAACCAACAACATTATGAGGCCAAGATATCAAGAATTCATCATGTTGCTGGAGGAGCAAGAGCACAGCTAGAGGCGAAAAGGAGGAATGAGGAATTGGAGATTAAAGAGAAGGCAGGGAGAATGAGAGTATCAGGAAATGTTCCTGCTAAGTGCTGTTTCTGCTTCTAAATGTTGTGAATAAAATTGCAAACAAACGAGGGAAATATGTATGACTATATACTCATAATGTACATATATTAGCAACATGAAATGTATTATGTATATGTATGTATTCTCCTTTGCACTAAATACAGGGTCAACAGTAAAGACAATTTAAAAAGAAGTTTGGACACTAGATTTCATAACATTACAGTCATATGACTAAATCACCAATTTCCACGCATGGAACAAATAGCAGTGCTGATGAGAAATCTGACTTTGGTTACAAAATATGATTCCTTGGCTGGCAGATTCCATACATTTTACCATTTGCTGTTCTTTTTATCGAACGGTAATGAGGCCAATGGAATATGTAGCTTTATAAGAGGAGGAATAAATACTAGTACTTTTGGCTTGCATCCCATCCCTTCTTTTCTTCACCTTCTTTTTCTTAGCTTTTCTTTGTGTCTTCATTGTTTTCCAGTGCTAGCAAACAATTAGTCAACTTGACACCTTTCCTCAATGGCTAAGAAAATGAAGGGTTCTTCAGACCTGGACTTCATTTCAATTCCATATTTCCCACTCACAAGCCTATAAATACAACTATTAGTCCATCTCCTCAGCATATCCAACTCTTGTGCCAAACCAGAAGTGATAAAAATCAGGAGTTATCAGAGAATGGAGAAAAAAAGGTACTCATAACTCCCTACTGAACTTTCACCATTTTGTTTCTAATTTTCTTTATAGAAATGTTTTTCCCAGTCTGAACAGAAAAGAAAATGTTAGAATGGACAACCATAACCTAGGATCTATTACCTCGGCATGGGTTCCATTCCTCTCATCCTAGGATTGTGTTTATCCGGACTAGCATTTTTTTGTATATCTGGACCAAAAAGCAATCCCCTTTTTTAATGTACTTTCATTTTATTTTGCTGAACTTTAGAAGCCTTTGTAACCAATATATTAATTTCGTAGACAAAAAGGAATATTTTAATCTTCTGATTTTTGTAGACAAGAAAGCTGGTTCCGAAGGCAGATTTCGGGCCTAAAAGGTAAAGATAATCGTCCAAGAGAAGGAGCCTTTGAAGCAGCAGTTGCAGCAGCTGCATTTGCTATTCAATCAGTGGAAGAATCTAAAACCCCTAACTACAAGACCAGAAATGGACGACTGCCTAATTCTAATAGAGTAATTAGGCAATTCTCACACAAGAAAACAAATAATTCAGGTAATTTTCACTTTTTTTACAGAGGGAGATTTTTTTTGGATGGTCAGGGTATTCCATGGCCAGCTTATGTGCAACTAGAGATGCAAATTGTTAATGATAATTCATTTCATGTAACAAGCTGTATATTCATCAGGTGAAACTTCAAACTGGAAATCAATGGAACAGAATAAGGAAGGAAAGAGAGTTTCTTGGACTGAGAAATTAAAGCTTAAGTCTTCCCTTAAGGCAGCAAAATCAGTTGATTCTTCAAAGAAAGATGGATGGTGAGCATTCAACAACTTGAAATCAACAATAACAAAAGCTAGTATTAACAGTTTTCTGCTCTTTCCATTATCTTCATGAACTTGGTCAGGTATGAGAAGCTGCAATCACTTCTTCATTGGGGAAAATAAGAGATGGTTATACGTAGAATATGTACCAAAACAAATGATACATCATAAACCATAGTTGTACTAAAAAATCAGACTTAACTGTATTCCATCTGGATTCCATCCCTGATAACCAAATTGTTTTTCCCTTTTTTGTTTTTAAATCCTCATCTAATGTTCTTCTTCAAGATGTGGGTGAAGTAGACACAACACTTAAAACATGGCATTGATAGAAATGGAACATTTCATGCAGTTGATTTGAAGGGGTGGAAACACATCTTGCTTGAAAGGAAATGGTACATTCATCCTAACCACACCAATTTCCAGTGCTTCCATCAGATTCTTCTGTGTGCCAACTCTTTATCTCCCACCAAGGACCAAAGGATCATCGTCTCATCACAATCAAATCACCAGGGAATAATTGGCTTTGGAAAATATATCACCAAGGATCTTAATATGCATCACATAAATGATGCGGTGGTCACAGCCTTAAGGGGACCATAAGATCATCCCAAATGACATTCCACTACACTCCCATTTACAGTTGATATTATAAACACCCAATTTTGCTTTAATTAGATGCACCAAATTCCTCATATCTACAATATGAGGTGATGCTGATGGGATGATGATGGTGATGATCATATTCTCTGTATAATATTGGAAAAGAGGGATCACTTCAGTTATGAATGAGTTTCTAAGAATGCTCCACTAATGAGGACTGAGTAACAATTGCTTCTGTCACAGTATGGAAATTAAAAAGGGTTAATTGGTCAGGGGCAGATTTTGGAGGACCTGGATGAGATTACAGCCCCTATTGTGAAGGTGTCTCTCTTCAGTCCAGCTTATTCCTTCAATTTGTTTGAAACAAAAATTCCAAGAAAAATAAAAAGACATTAAAATTCATTTCTTAAATGAAGGACATGGTCCCATGAACTACTAGCTTGTTATTCTAATTAGCTAAGACAGACAGCATATGTAATGTGCTTTTTGTACAAGTGTTGTCTGGGAAAAACTTTTGGAGGAGTGCTGAATCATGAATTCATATATAATAATTATAAAAAATTTTAGAAATTGATAGAAAGGATTAGATTAAATTCATACACCTAAACACAAAAGGCTTTACTCCAGAAGCTACAGGTTTGTAACTTTATTTCTAACATTTTAGAAGTAGAAAACAACTTTTATATATGTCAGAAACATTTTTACAGTATGTTTGAGTTGAAGGGAATGGAGGAGAGGGGAAAAAAACTCTATTTGATTATCAAAAAAAATTAGAAGGGAAGGCGAAATTTTCTTTTATTTTTTCTTTTAATTTAGTTATTTATCCAAATGAGAGAAAGAGAGAGAAGGGGAATGGAGGGGAATGGAGGGGAATGGAAGGATATAATTCCCCTCTCCTCCCTTCTCCTTCCTTCCATTCTCCTGAACTGCATTTGGTTTAGCTTCAACTTTTGCATCAGAGAAGATCTTTACAAAACTAGGCCAAACACACGTGTAAAATCTTAAATCTGTGGTGCCAAGTTTCTAGAACCGATGTATCTGCTATGCAGCTAACTGATGAACATAGTTGATGTATTTTCTTGTAAGAAGAAAAACTCATCTAATGAACATAGTGATATAACTCCACTTAATACATGGGCCATAACCATGAAAGATAAGGAGCAAATCTTGGTGCAACAGAAATAAATCGAGCAAGGAATAATGGGTAAACTTTGACAATGAAGAAGAGTTATATACAAGCATAAGCATACAATCTACATGGCATATGCAGATCCAGTGAAGCAGCAGAGATGAAAGAAATCTTTGGTAACTCAACGCGGACTAGTAATTGTCACTGTCTTGGTATCCAGAAGGGAGAAAACACTTTCAAAAGCACCAACCAATGCCCTGACCTTACTCCTCCTGGCCTCCACCAGCTTGCTTGCTGTTTCTTCAATCACATTGTTGAGCAAACCCCCTGATTCTTTCTTTTCATCCACCATCCCCTCCACATTTTTTCCTATTGAGTATGCATCTGTGCCATCACCTTTAACATTCTGGCTATAACTATTTTTATTATCAACATGCATTCTTCGCTTGAACTTGAGTCTCTGTGCGGTGAAATCCACGGAGTTGATACTTCTGACATCATCTTTAACATTTTGGTTGTCAACATTTTTACTGCCAACAGGCATTCTTTGCCTGAACTTGAGCCTCCTTGGAGTGAAATCCTGAGGTTGAAGTTCAATCACTCTTCCTTTCTTAAAATTCATCTGTTTTATTATCAACTGTTTATCTTTTGGGATGTGTATTCCAGCTTTCTTATGCCTACTCCTATTTAGCACTTTGGAGCTCCTTGCTTGCTTTTTGGCATCACGTTCATCATGTTCAGAGGAGGCATCACCATGGGAAGACCTTGATGATGCAGCTCTGGAAGATGTCAATGACAATTTTTGAGATGGTTGGGTGATGTCGATTCTATTTTGTGTGCGCCTCAAGCCTTTCCTTACAGCGGATAGCGACAGAGGTGGAGGCACTTCACAAGCTTGAACTCTATTTTGCCTGCGTGTCATATTCTTCTTCACATAGGATACAGGTGAATGGCCAGTAGAAATTCTATTTGGAGCACGTTTCATGCTCTTCTCCCCTGAGAATGAAGGTGACAACGATGACAAATTGCTGGCACGGATGCCAATTTGAATCGATCCCACACTTTTGTTCAAAGATTTTGACTGAGTGATGTACAAAGTCTTCTCTGAAAGACCTTCGCTGCTGGGTTGTTCAATTCCAGTACTTCTAAGATTCTGTTGATTCTTCAAATGGGAAACTCCTCTTACTTTCTTTAAGCTTTTAGCATCTTCAGCCCTGTACCGCTTGCATTCAGCATTCTTAACACTCACATGATTCTTCAAATGAGAAATTCCTTTTAGATTCTTGGAGTTTGTAGCATTTGTGCTTGAAACTCCATTTCCAGATTCTCTGGCAGATAGACAAATAGATGATGGTGCTGCACCTTTCTTCTTAACTTCCCAGTAGGCTTTTATTTCTTTGCTTGTTCTGATCTCACCTTTGCTTCTATAGCTTGGAACTCCTGGTGAATTCATTGACCGAGCACCCATTTCCTTACTTTTGCCTCTTTCAGTGTTTCCTTTACCACTTGAACATGTCTGTGTCAGAATAGCAGACTGCCCCCATTGAAGCTTCACTTTTGAGTCTGCAGCATGTGCAATAGACACATCAGTTTCATAGAGAGTGGATCTCACCTGTTTTGACAAGGCGGTTGCTTTATTTTTCAGCAATGAAGACTCTCTTTTGATGTCAACAGGACCAACAGGTTTGTAGCTTTCGGATTGAGGAGAGCACTTTACTCTATATTCTGGTTTCTTATTTCCCTTTGCTACATGAGTTCTAGTTTTTTCCAGATGTCGGTCTTCACCTTCTGTTGTGGTGAGCTCAATGCTGACAGGACCATCCTTTGCCTGGACTTTTGAGTCATTCTTATGTCTAATTTCTCTCTTGTTTCTTCCTGTGAAACTAGTTTCAGCCTTTTCCAGAATTTGATTGCTGCCTTCTGTCGATATAGTGTTAGTAACAACCAGATCAACAAGTTTCTGGTTTTCTGAATCAGGAGAACTCTTGAGAAAATTTTCTGATTTCTTCCCACTCTCAGCTAAGTTTTCTTGGGCCCTCTCCAGATTTTGGCATCCAGCTTGCATTGGTGTAATCTCAACAACAGCACAATCATTGGTTTCATAAGGTTTGATAACAAGAGAAGGCATAAGACTGATTTCTGAAATCTTATTTCTCTCCCTTGAACTAGATTCAACTACCTCCAGGTTCTGGCTTTCATCTTGTAATAGTGCACTCCTGCCAAAAGGAGGATTATCATGTTCCACGGTTCTGCAATCTGGGGAAAGCTTAGGACTAAATCCTGATTTCTTCCCGCTGTCCAAAGAATTAATTTCTTTCTTTTCAAGGAACTGGCCTTCACCCCGCGTTTGTGTAATACCAAAAATAGCAGGATCATCAGATTGCCGGGTTTCTGAATCAGGCGGGGGCTTAAGACTACTTCCTGATTTCTTCTTTCTCTCAGATGAAGTATTATCAGCCTTTTCCAGATGTTGGCCTCCACTTTGCAACGATGTAGCATTGATGATAGCAGGATCATCAACTACAAAAGTTACACTATCAGGAGAAGGCTTACGACTAGTTCTTGATTTCTTCTTTCTGTCTAATAAATTCAATTCTGCAATCTCCAGGTTCTGACCTTCATCTTGTTTTAGTGCACTCTTGATGACAAAAGGATCAATGACTCTCTTCATTCTAGGATCAGGAGGATGCTTGGGACTGCATTTCTTCTTTCTGTCCATACGATTGTGTACATTCATTTCAAGATTTTGGCCTTGACCTTGCCCTGTTGCTGTATTGATGACAACAAGATTATCAGGCACCTGGGTTTCGGAATGAGAAGAAGGCTTAAAACTAACATCATTTTTTTTCTTTTTCTCAATGGTAATAATTTCAGCCCTGTCCATATTCTGGCCTTCAGCTCGTGCTGCTATAATTTTTCTTGACGTGGGACTAGATGAATTTGTTTCTTCACCAGTGTACCTCATTCCATATTTACAAATGTCATGGCAGGAACCTTTTGGATCTCTGAGATAGCGGGAAAGAATGGGTACTCCATTGTGGAAACCTATCCTTCTTGAATCAACAGATTCAGGCTGAACCATTTCAATCACTGGGATGTTAACAATCGCTCCTCCAGCCATTGTTAGCAAACTAAATTTGCAAACTAGGAAACAGTAATTATCTCTGGCAGCTAAAACTTGACAAGGCAGTCAGCCTGGAAGAAAAGAGGAATGAGCACATGAGAAGAAAACTTAATAGATAATATTCATAATTTTGAAAGTTATACAAAATTAGGGTCATGGTATAAGCAAATTGAAAAGAAAAGAATGAATGGGGATCTGGGAGTACCATGAACGTTGAATCAATCCATTATCTCCTTCAGCATTTTGAATCTGTTCATTCAGCATTTTGGAAGAATCGGGATAAATCCTTTGCTTCCTAAAAGCCTGCAGAATCAGAGTAATCTTGTTTTTACATTTCTGAATACTCGACGAGAACTTTATATTCCAGAAAACTAAAAACCATACCTCCGCCGTCATTTTAATGACTGGGTCACAATGTCAGCTCAGGTAACCAACAACTTCATACAGCCTCTTGCTACCTCGTTCTATACAGACCCTTATGTTATGCTGCCATCCTATTCATTCCAATGCTATACGAAAATGAAAATTATTAGAAAATAATACAGTGTAACAAAAGCACTAATCTTATTTTCATAGCAAGCCCAAGAACACAAAGCAATTGTTACATTCCATGGGAAAAGCTGTTGTGACATCAAGCAAAGACTACTATCCAAAATTTGGAATCAAAGAACCAATTCACAAACAGCAACCATCCTATCCGACCCTTTCATCATTGTATTTATCATGTATCCCTTCACTGCATACTCCAATTTATAGTTATTACAAGATCACAGAGAAGCAAAAAAACATGGTTGAATGTATGAAAAATCTGTCTTCTTCATTTATTTTCAAATTATCAGCGGAACCACAGAATCAACCACAATAATTTAAAACATCTCTGCAGTTCTTTCCATCAACAAATTGGAAAAAAAAAAATCCTAAAATTCCAGCTCTTAAAATGTTAAAAAATAAAAATAAAAATAAAAAGGAAAAAAAATTCAACAATTGCAAGATTCATGATAAAAAACAAGGCCAACACATTCAAATTGGCATGTGAGAGGCTCATTTCTGTAGGAAAAGAGTCCCATTTACAAACTAAACCTCATGATCATGTTGTGCTGTTCATCTTAAAATGCAGAAAAAAAATAAAAAAATAAATAGCACTACCCATTTGCAGAAATTATATGTTATTTAAAAAGAAAACAGGTACATACACTTTTGCAATTGGGCAGAAACATGATAGAAAGAAAGAAATTTGAGAAATTCGAGAAATTCCATACCTTTCCTGTTTGCAAGAAAAAAGGACCAAGGCAGAGAAATGGCTGCAAACAAGACAGCAATGGATAATAAGGGCAAATATAGAGGTGGAGTTGGTTGTTTTTGTTGCTTCCTTAATTAGCGTTTGGCTAATATACGTGTTTGTTAAGGTTGTTTTGGCCATAGTTCCCTACCTAAAATCAAACCCCCATTACTATCATTAGTGTTCCTTTTTTCCTCCGCAATGTCTTGAAAACAATCCTCTCTAGAGGGAATCTGTCCAATTCAGTCCATCATGAAAAGGATAACGTTTTTATGTTTTGCTGGGGTGGTGTTATTGCTTAATAATTATTGTGACATTTTCTATCATAATTTGATCATTGTTATTGTTTTTAAGTTAACTTTAATGGGTGACGAATTTTTTAAAGAGGTAAGATGAGTTTCGTTTACATAGAGATTATAATTAATTAAATATAAAAAA